TTATTTTGAATGGATAATTATTGATTACAAGTCTTTTGCAATGTATGTAAGGCAAAGAAAAACTGCCGAAAAAAAACGTCTGAAAATCACGAAAGGAAGCACTTTTTTTTCCTTGGCCGTTAGATCAACTAGATTAGTTAACTTTAAACAATCCTTATATTTTTCTTTTCTCCAAAAGTAAACAAAATGTTTCTTTTAAATGAATTTTTTGTACTAATGTACACATATAAAAGTATACCTATACTATATTAGCGTCACTTCGTTTTGTTGCTAGTATTCCTTCATATTCTCCTATGATGTTTCTATATGCTTGCCGTTTGATTAGAATTCTATCTTACTGTTTTCAATTTCTTACGTTATATGTTCGGTGTTCTGCAAAACAAATATATAGCAACTTTTAGGCAAGCACATTTATGTTTTAATTTATTGGTGTTTAATCGTAATTGGGTAATATTGAGCTCAATTTTAGTTTGAATTCAAGAGAAAAGATCCTCTGTTAAAGCATCTGAGACAAGAAGAATTTTAGCAAAAGAAAATTCAATATATCTTGTTTGCTGTGTTTCTTCTAGAAGAGAGAGGAAACATTTCTGTATTGCCCAACAAATTATTTAATTGAAGAACATTGTAAAAATGACAACATCTGATAGGCAATATATGACAATGGGTGATGTACAAGAATTGAGCAAAGAACAAGATAAATGTATACTTGTTATTGAACATAAAGTGTATGATATTACACCATTTCTTGATGAAGTATGCTTTTATTTACTTTATTTTAAACTGTTTAGTCATACATATACTCTTCGCTTTTAGCATCCAGGTGGTGAAGAAGTATTAAAAGAACAACATGGAAAAGATGCAACGTCTGCTTTCGAAGACGTTGGACATTCGATTGACGCACGTCAGCAAATGGAACAATATCAAATTGGAGAACTACAAGTCGTAAGTTACAAACTGTAAGAATAAATTGTCAAATACTAATTGATTTTCTTTCTAGTCTGAGAAAAAGCCATCTGAAAAGGTAATTTTAAATTGATATTCTATCTAGTTTCAAATTTTGTCTTTTCTGTAACATTAAAAATGTTTCTTTGAAATTCTACAACTTTAAAACGAATTTATTGTTAAAACTGTGCCAGATTGACTTTTTATCAATTTACATAATTTTTTTTTATTTAGAAGGCCCGAAAAGTAGTTAGTGATGAAGTGAACAATGAATCGTCATCTTGGATGAAATGGATTATACCTCTTGCAATAGCCATATCTGCTGTTATTATATTTAAATTATTTATTAAATAAATCATTCTTATTTGTTACATATTCATAGAAATTTCTTTTGTTATTTTCATTGTTTTTACTGTGGTGATTTTTTGTATGCAATTCCATTTTACACGAAAGCTTGTTGGTACTTGGCGAAATAGTTTTTATCGTTGGTTTAATTCACGTGAGGAAGGATGTGCTCTCAACTGGGATTGTTTGTAACAAATTAATTAAAATTGTACTTTTTCGCGAATTCCATATTGATCTTATATCGTAAATTATGTTCACTATACTTTTTTCCAATCAGAATTAAAAGACTTTTATACTCTATTTATTACTGTTTTTTTCATCAAATGTTCTCTTCAGATAGATGGTTATAGCTATTCGCATTTGCATAAAGACTGAAGGTTGGTTATTAAGGATTGTGGGTAGATTTAAAGGAACAGTCTAATGGAAAGCTGAGTAATGAATTGAAAATGTGAACACTGATGAAGTCACGATCATTATTCATTTCATTTGAACTTGGTTCTCATTTTGTTCTGCACTGGCGTGATGCCATCTTGTTCATTTATTTATCGCTATATAGATCTGTAATTGTATATTATTTTAGATTGTTCTCTCTGTTTTATCTAAAAACTGTTAGAAAAATGGCTGAAGCACAATTAACAAATCAGTTGAGTCGTATTGGAGCTTTGACAAATGTTGAGTTACGTGCAGAATTGAAACGTCGCGGGTGTAGTTCAACTGGAAATAAAAAAGATCTTTTGGCAAGATTACGTGCAGCTATGCAAAAAGAGTTTGACCAACAAGTACTTGACACAGCGTCAACAACATCAACAATTGGTGATTCAGCAAGTGAAAGAAGTGTAGATGAACGAATATCGAACAACGACACAGAATTAAATGCATCTTCATTTATGACACCTACTGCATTAAGTCCACAAATACAAAATGAACAACAACAGCAAACAAATAATACAGAGGAAAATCCTCTAACTTATTCGAACTTAATGATACACGATCAAGTACGTAAGAAAGAGCAGAAACCATGGTATCACAGACAATACAGTGCTTTTTCTGCAAAAATATATTTTTTAGAGCCCAGTAGAACTGTATTTTTTTCTATCAATCAATGCTATCAAAATATTGTTTTGAAGAAGAGGTGATTCTATATCTCATGATTGTTTTCGTTTATAGGCCAATCCCCAATATCCCGCCTATGATTTATCAAGCAATCAACATCCGCAACCTAACACGGACAATGTTCTTGACCTTTCATCGTCATCGTCTCATAATACACGGCGTAAACGGCCAAATTCCACACCGGGTATAACGTCGAATACTCCTGAAAGAAAACGTACTCGTACAAGAGAAAAAAAAAATTCTGTTGACGCACCAGCCATTGATTTTGAAAAGGAACAACAAGAAACATCTGCACTTACAGCCGAGAAAGAAGAACCTATAAGTGTATCACCAACGGTTGAAGAACCTCCGAATGTACAAGACAACCAACCACAAGCACCAACAAATGTTGGTTATAATATTGAAGAAGTAAATGCTGATCAGAATAATGTACACCATGAAGTTCGACAACAACAGGACGAAGATAATTTATCAAATGTACCGGTTATCGATTTAGCTCCAGATGATATTGACGATGATGATGATTTAACAAAAATTGATGGTGATAGATCTCGTTCGCCGTCAACATCCTCTCGAAAACGTAAGTCTCCATCTGTAACAAGTTCCGTTAAATCCGAATCTGTCATTAATGAAATGCCATTATCTGGTGAACGACATCGTCTTAGTCGTTCAAAATCACCTAAATCACGATGGAGACACTCGCCTTCACCATCGCAACCAAATCAGTCTCAACATCAACAACAATCAAAAAATATTGATGAAGAACAGGAGGAGGAAGAAAATATTAACGACAATTCAATTATAACAACAGATGAAAGGTTTGTAATACACTGAATCGTCATCACTTAATTGCTGAAACATTATCGAAATCTATGTTTTGAAATTGACCAATAAAATGCAAGAATGTACGCCTAACACAGATTTTATAAGGAATATTCAGGTTTTTAGAATAAAATATTGAAGTCTGCGATTAGGAGAGTTTTTTTCGCATCACGCTTAGAAAATACGTGTGTACTAAGCACGCAACAAATATAATATATTCAAGAGTAAAGTATTTTGGAAAAACCGATAGAAATTCCATTAAATTGATTAATATATTTAAGATTATTGTACGATAGTTATGATTTTCCTTTTGTAACTTTGATATAATATAATTTTAATTTTTGTATTTTAGTAAAGATAATCCAGTCAGTCAACACAGTGAAAACGTTTCAAAGTCAAGTGAAAATCAAGAGCAACAGGTGACATTGTTCGCTGAAGAAATGAGTGAATTAGTTGGTCAAAAAGAGGTAATGAGTCGAAAATTTTCTGAGCTTTTTCCCACATTTTTTTTCTTTTTTATTATTGTACAGTAGCACCATATTGTTTTTCTATTAGTGATACTTTAATGTTTAACAAGTTTTTTTCTGTGTTTTATAACATTTGTATTGTTTTCAATTCAGGTCAGCAGAATCAATCGAGATTACACATTTAAGGATAGGAGAACTATAATAGCACTAAGTTGATCAAACCAGTTACTGATCTTTTTGTCAAGTGATGAAAAATATTTACAAACACCATGGATAAAACAGCATCAAAAAAAAATATATATATATCTAAAAAT